TGCTTTGTGTGAATAAGCTACTCCTGTATGTAATTTAGCATATTGTACTCAAGCTAAGCATTTTATGAAAAATGTTTCATAGAATTTGACATACTCCGGATTTCCCAGTGGCATAGATAATGTGATTAAAGCCTAACCATAATCAAGATGAAAAAAGAAAAGAAAAAATAAGAACAACAACATAAATTTAAACTAATGCTTTACATGCTACAGTGCTAAAGTCAAACGTCCCTGTTGCTATGTGTCACAACATTCCTGTTTGTCACTCAGTTGAACTGTAAATGTCAGACCCCTGTGGAGCGTATACGAGGTGATTTTTCTAACGACACATGAGATTTGTCACTTGACGGAAAGCTTCATTACCAAGTAAAGTTTAAAAGGTTATTGGATTAAGGAAAGATAAATAGTCATACTGATGATATACAGTTGAAATACTGCTAAATACATCCTTGGATTTGAAAGTCTTTAATCAAATTATTGTTTACTGAAAATGTTTACGTGATATAAAGTAATTATAATTAGAGTTATATGTGAATCCATATTATCTGGGACTCAAGTGGTAGGGTTATTTGAAGAATAGCTTTGTTTTCCATATCTATGGAAGGTTATAGAAATAACAGCAGGCAGTGTTAACGTCGAATAAAATTTTCAAATATGTTAAAACTTATTGTAAAATAAATTGATATTCTCTTTTTTAAGACTTCTTTAAATTGATTTCACTCAAAGATATAACCTCTTTTTGCAAATGATCTTATTGTGTGATATTCTCTTTTCTTAAGACTTCTTTAAATTGATTTCACTCAAACATATAACCTATTCTTGCAAACGATCTTATTGTGTGATATTCTCTTTTTTTAAAGACTTTTTAAAATTGATTTCACTCAAACAGATAACCTATTTTTGCAAATGATCTTATTGTGTGATATTCTCTTTTTTAAGACTTTCTTAAATTGATTTCACTCAAACATATAACCTCTTTTTGCAAATGATCTTATTGTGTGATATTCTCTTTTTTTAAGACTTCTTTAAATTGATTTCACTCAAACATATAATCTATTCTTGCAAATGATCTTATTGTGTGATATTCTCTTTTTTAAGACTTCTTTAAATTGATTTCACTCAAACATGTAACCTATTTTTGCAAATGATCTTATTGTGTGATATTCTCTTTTTTAAGACTTCTTTAAATTGATTTCACTCAAACATATAACCTATTTTTGCAAATGATCTTATTTTGTGATATTCTCTTTTTTTAAGACTTCTTTAAATTGATTTCACTCAAACATATAACCTATTTTTGCAAACGATCTTATTGTGTGATATTCTCTTTTTTTAAGACTTCTTTAAGTTGATTTCACTCAAACATATATAACCTATTTTTGCAAATGATCTTATTGTGTGATATTCTCTTTTTTAAGACTTCTTTAAATTGATTTCACTCAAACATATAACCTATTTTTGCAAATGAGCTTATTGTGTGATATTCTCTTTTTTTAAGACTTCTTTAAAGCAGTTTTGTTAGCATATCTTAGTATAATATCCTGGTATAACATTTCTATTCAAATAGAAGTTTAGTAGAAAATTACAGAATCAAATGCTTTGGAGAAAATAATTTACTTTAATAAGAGATCCACTACGCGCCTGATAAACGAAATAAATTCCCAATACAATCCCAGGATTTTGTTTTCGCAAGTTAGAGTCTAACGTGGCGTAAGGTATCTCTTAAACAAGAACGTCTTCTTTAAAGTACGTTTTTAAAAGGCATCCGTAAAACAAATATCTACTTATACAGAGGAAATAACATTTTAAATTTGAGTGTGGGTCGAGACTTTACGGATGTTAAGTATCCATTCAACAGTTCTGGCAGGTGCACAAGAATGGTTCTCACCTGGA